AATAGCCCTCTTGTTCAGATTCTAGCAGTGAGCAGGTACCTGTGGAATCAGCTATAGGACTGATCGTTCTGGAACTTTGCACCAAAAAACTTGTGGGGCTTCTGAGAGCCTGTGTATTACTGATTCCACTGCAGACTTACATTTCATATCATACCTAGTGGAGGGCTTGGCTGAGTTGAATTCAGTCTAGCTGCTGTTAAGAGATCCTTCCCAGTTGCACAGGCACGACGTATACAATCTAAGATAGTGGTTCAGAGTCCCACTGTCCTTAGTACAGAAAGAGATGCATGTCCTAGAAGCCATGGACTCTTTATATCTTTATTACTGTAGCCACTAGATAAGAGGTTTAGAGTCTGTGGACTTGCTGTTCTGCAGGCAGACTTCCAAGGAGTTGACCAGTTGACTAAAACAGGCTCTGTTTTGAGGGAAGAACAAGTTTAGCATGTGCAAAAGTGTCCTGTCATTGTCATTCTCCAGTTATTTTTCTCCCTAATTCCTTGTTTGTCAGTGAGAAGTCTACCACTTTTCTATCATCTGTTAACAAAGAATTCTTGGCCTCTGGGCCAACTGAACCTTATAGTTGCATCTCACAACATATATGCTAGATAGTACTTGCTACTGCTATGCAAATCCACACCAACAGCAAGAGGCATTGTATAAGGCACAGTTAAACACATCCATGGTGCTGTAGGAAGATTTCTGACCATCAGCTCTGACATTTAATATTTCCTAGATCTAAAATAGATCCCTTCTACTAAGATTGACCTAGCCACAATTTCTGCTTGTCATCTTCAAGCTGATAAAACTTTTGATTCTTTTACTCCCCTGCCTCTTATTCAGAAGTGTCTTAAGCTGCTATAACTATTTCCCATATGGAGGACTTTGTTCCCCTATGATGCCTAAAATCTTGGGCCCTCAGGTAACACTGCCCTCTACTTCAGTGCGAACTAGCTACTTAAACGTTTGGTGACACCCCTCCTAGAAAGTAGTCCTTCGAATTTCAGTTGCTGTGTTTTTTTTTTTCCAGCCTTCCGGGCAGGTTGTGACTGTTGAGATATCCATATAGACCTATTTTAAGCAGCTTTCAAATACAGTTTCTGAGTTTCATCTGAAATTATCAACACCCTCCCCCTCCACCAAGTCCATCTGAAATGCTGCCAGAGCCAAGACCTTTTTATTCTCATCTTTGGTGCTGAAGAAGGCTGATCCTTGGACTGTCCAATAGGTATTCTCAGTCACAAAAGACTGAAGGACAAAATTGTCTTTGCACAGTGACTCTCCAGTGGGTAGTAGCTTAAGGCATTACAGTCACAAAGTTTGTGGAGGCTCTCTTGCCATCTGAACACATTTTTCCTAGTGCTACCGTAAATGGAAGCTTGAATTCTCACAAATGTCCGCATTCCTGGTATCTGGAGCATTTTTACATGCTTTTCTTCATCTTCGAGATATTCAGGGCTGATGATTGATAGCGTGTAGATCAGTAGTGTAGCTGAGGTTTCTGTAAAAGACTCACACATCTTTTAGCATAGAGAACGCCTTATCCCTTGTCTCCCATTGTGTGAACATACTGATGCTGGTCTCTTAAAGATGGCAAGGCTAGTTGTGTAGCAATAATTGAAGTTCTTTTCTTTAAGATGTCCACAGATACCTCCCCTTCCTGTCCTTTCAGGTTCTTCTTAAGTAAGTTACTTTTCATTGAGCTTGACAGAAAATGGCACAAATAAATACACTCTGCCTTAAACTCCTACACTAATCATGGGAAAGGTTCTCCTGCAATTACACTGCTTTGAAAGCAGAAGTGTCACAGGTTACAAGCGGTATCTGTAAAACACTGTAATGTATCCAAACATGTATTTGAAGTATCCAACTTGGAGAACTTCTGTTGCTACTTCAGTTACCAGAAACCTCTATCTTGTGTGCAAAAGGATCAAAAGAGAGTGATTTATTAACTGAACTCGCTGACTGCAGTGATACAGCTAAATTAAAGTATGACAAAGGAAACCTCCTGCTCATTCCATACAGTTTCAGCATAAAAGCCAAAGTATGTGTTTTCCCCACGTGCAGAAACCTCTCATCTTAGTACCTGACATTTATGCTGTAACTGAGGTAGCTAATAAAATATAATACTTCTAACTAATATGTGAATTTAACATATTTAGTATCTCTAACTTCTAACAGCAAAACTAGATGTGCCCCCTAAACCTAAACGAGCTCCCAAGGCCAAGAAGATGGAAACTGTAAATTCTGACTCGGATTCAGAATTTGGCATTCCAAAGAAGACTGTAGCACCCAAAGGTAAGAATTTTGCTGCAGTGCTTATCATCAGGCTTAGGGTCATTTTTATGAGGAAGCAGAAGTACAGTTTCTAAAATTAGAACCACATGGATTTATTGGTAAATGAATCACTAGTAAATTACTCAGCAACAAGGTTTTTCTGTGACAAAAATAGTTTACTGACTTTTCTCGACCAACAATGCTGTGAATTTTTTAATCTAACTTTAACTTCTGGGAATGCATGTCATAACTCCAACCCCCTTTTTTTTTTTCTTGCTCATCAGTTCTGTTAGATACTGCTTATTTTCATTCTTTGATCTCAGCTTTATAGAAGACTCTGAAGTTCTGGTAGCTGGTAATTCTCGTAAGCAGAGGTTTTTTTGGCTCTTTAGAACAATTCATTGGTATCCCAGTTCTTAGCTGCAAAAGTGTTCAGAAGAAAATCATAGAAGCAACACAGTACACTGATTTAATCAGAGGGACTTGTAAAGGGAAGGGGTTTGTCAGTGTTGATCGTTGAGGTTAACAGTAAGTTTACACAGGAATAATTTATCTTTCTTTACTATTTAGTAATCAGTACAGAAAGTGACCCAGGCTTTGTAATACTTCAGAAGTCTAGAAGTCATTGATCGAATGCTAGTTGGCCCCGTCTTGAACTGAGAGCATGACTTGCAAGGGTAAATGGTAACTTCAGAAGAAGTATAAAAGATTTAAAACTGAGAGGAATTAATTAAATGCATTGTAAGAATGGAATGTATAATTTTACTTCTGTTGTGGAAAAAAAGTTGAGCCTATAGACTAAATTTTGACTTTAGCACATACTAAAATGTAATTTCACCACTCCTCTGAATAATTTGCACTTTAATTAATTAAAAAAAAAAAAAAAAGTCAAGTCATATTCTCTCACCCAGGAAAAGGTAGAGGGGCAAAGAAGAGGAAAGCATCCAGCTCAGAAAATGAAGGTGAATACAATCCTGGGAAGAAAACACCTAAATCAACACCAAGCAAGGTCAGTTCCTGCTTTGTTCTTTTATATTTGAACAAAAGAGAACCTAATGGGTTACTTTAAGGTACATGCTCTTAACTAGGTTGCTTAACTAGTAACTGGGGTTTAGGTATGTTTAGGTATCAGATGTTAGAGAAATGTTTGCTTCAGTTCTGAATGTTAAAATGCAAACTGTACACAGCATCACAAATTATTTGTCTTTTCTTTTCTAAAGAAATCCAAGAAGACCACTTTTGACCAGGATTCCGATGTGGAAATATTTCAGTCAGGCTTTGCCTCTGAAACTGCCCCGAAGCCACGGACAGGTCGGGCTAGAAAAGAAGTTAAATATTTTGCAGAGTCTGATGAGGATGATGATTTTGATATGTTTAATTAAGTGCCCAAAGAGCACACAAACGTTTTCCAACAAATATCTTGTGTTGTCCTTTTGTCCCTTCTGTCGCAAACTTTTGTACATTTGACTTATTTTATGTGATAATGTAATTGATGGTTTTTATTATTGTGTGTAGGCATTTTAACATTTTGTTCTTACACCTACAGTTTTATGCTCTTTTTTACTCATTGAAATGTCATGTATTTGTCTGACTGGCTTGTAGAGATGTTCTAGACAGCTGTGCTAAAGCACATTTTAATTGTCATGGTTGCAAACAGCAAACCTGCTTTTTGAAATGAAATTTAAACATTAAAAAATGGAAAAGTATCTTGTGTGTGGAAAATTTGGACTGAAGGGGCTGCTTCTACACAGGTTTTTTTAAAATAAATATATTTTATTCTTTGCCAGGAGACTCCATGGAAAAAGGTAAACAGTATATGAACATAGAAAGCATTGTTAAACAATCTCAATGTACAAACAGAGCCAGTGAAAGTACATCACAGACTTGCTAGAATATATAAAAAAAAAATCCACTAGTGCTTTAAATGAAACCTAAGAAACTGACACTTTAAATCTGTTAACCATTCTACCACAGTTTTCACTCTGCTTTATGGTGATTTAACAAGGCCAAGAAGGCAGATTCTCTCCTTGTGTTTCTGGAAGTCGTAGCTGTAATTCCTTACCACCTAGAAGGCTGAATAACCCAACTAATTCCAGGCAGTAGATTCTTAATGAAATACGCTAGACTCACCAGTTCAAAAGCTGTGAATGAGTCTGCTGGTTATCATCCCATGAAGTTTCCCTAATGGCTTGTGAACAAGTAAACAAAACATGGTAACACTGAAAAGTGTTTCTGCCTTGGAGGCTATCATTACTGTAGAAATGGAATAGTTAATTGAGTAGCTAGGTCACCAGCCCGGTAATAAACCACTTCTTAAATTTTAAAGTGACATTAACAGTGGAACAAATGACATCTGAATAACTGATCTGGCAGTTAACGTTGATACTGATGTCTTTTCTGCAAGTGCAGTGACTTTTTGTATACTTTTTACAAGGAAGGAGATGCAAACTGAGGGCATCAAAGACAAGTTTTCATATTAACTAAATCAGACGATCCTTTAAACTTTCTTTTCTGGATGTATACAGTAGTCCATTTCATATGCTTGGTGTCTTGATCATTTTAGGTATGAGAGGCAAAAGGAAAGCACCAAACATCCAGTATAGAAAGTAGAGCCATACATTTGTATGTACAAAGTCATCAGAAATGCAACCAGAATTTAAAGTCTGAGATCTGTCTTGTCACCATGCAATCTTGAGTGTTCAGAGGAGAAAACAGAAGCTTAACTATTTTTTGCATGAAATGGCTGATTTAGAGTTTCAAAAGTTTGCATTTTCTAGTTTTAAGAGTTTAAACAGCAAGGAGTATATATCGATACATATGAAAATTTCTTGGTCCTTGTTGAGTTTTTATCTATATATATATACATATATAGATATATATTAAGTCCAGAAACTAAGCAGCAGTAAAAATGTTTTTCTTGCTTTTCATCCCTGTACATAAGGTATTAGGAATGTCTGAAGTAGCTGGAAAATGTCTTATTGCACCATCGGGGATTGACTGACACTGCTGTTATCCACTGAACTAGGTGAGATACTAGGACTGTGTTCTGCGGTATTTCCGTTTGAGGTTGGTGTCAGTGGTTCATGTCCTTCAGAATTCTCCAACATTTCCTGAATAAGAGGTGGCATGGATCCAGGAATTTCCATTTTCAATGTAATGACACGTTCTGCACCTTTAAAAAAAAAAAGGGTCCTTTTTAGTAATACAATCCATGCAATTGCTTTTTTTTAATAGCACCATCACTAGTAATTTCAGGGCACATTATTTTAATGGAATTAGTTCCCTTGCATGAGTTTGTGCGCAAGAGCTTTAGAAGAAGAGACTATTTATTTCAGTCATTAAAAGAAAAAGGAATTAGATGAGTATTCTTCAACAAATGGATTGAAATTATGATCGCAGCAACTGACGCTACAGTACAGGTAAACTGAATGAACTGTTTCTTTTTATAGCAGGAATCAAAGCAATGTTAAATGATTATGAAAAGTTACATTTAACTTTGGTCACTTAGACTTCTTTATAAATTGGACTGTATTTTATGCTCTTTAATCAGTACTGGGTCTGTAAAGTATACACAAAATGGCAAAAATTCTCACTGATTAGTGTTAAATAGGTGAGGCAAATCTTTTTAAGGGCTCAGAAAGCCCTTAACTATTTTATTCAGTAACACTGATACAACTTCAGTACTACATTCCATTATAAACAAGTAATGTATTTAAAGCTTTGAGGCCAAGACTGATACATGCAGATGCAAAGTGGGGAGGACCATAAAGAGACAGGAATATTTTGCAATCAAACCTCAAACGGTGAGGATACATAGTAAAAAACTGCGTTCCACACTAAAGTGTGAAGTGTGCTTTACACAGTTTTGATTTTGCTGGTAAAAAAAAATCTGTCCACCAGGACAACTTCAGACAATTCATGGCCATAACAGAGTTCAACTATCTGACAGAGTATGTCCCATAAGAGTCCTGACCATCTTCTCAAAATACAAGTCTAACTGAATATGTATCTGTGCTTTTAAGAAGTGAAAGTAGTAAAAAAAGCCAACAAAATTAAAAAGAAAATATTCTGACTATTGTAGAAACATTTCAGAGGACAAAACCCTTGGATATGTTTTGCCTGCTCTTTAAATATCAAGTAAACATTAATGAAAATAAATGCATATGTCAAACAAGGAAGAAGAATCCATTCTCACACATTTTATAAGTTTAAAACAAGTATATTTGAGTGATTTTATTGCTAGATTTTTTTCCCTGAAGTCCTCTCAAAATTTAGGTCAAATTAAACAAATTTTTCAAAAGCATGGATCAAATTTTCACCTGTATCACTGCCTGTATAGTGCGTGTGCTTGCTTATCTATCAGCTCTAGCAAATCTGTAGTTGAATAAGCATAGCTAGAAAGAGGAACTGCATCGACCACTGGGCGGAGAAAAAAAAAAAGAATTGTGGCAGTTAGTTAGACTCTTTTGTACTCAGAATGGTGCAAGTCAGTCAGACACAGCTGCCTTGAAGTCTGGAGGTAAACATGTATGAAATATCTAGACATTGTTTAACAAAATCATATCTTGGAAGACATACTGTGGTATGGAAACCAAAAGAGCACATTCATCTTTAAAGCCATGACACAGCATGGAGTGGCTCAGGGGGTGCATGGAGGTTGCTAACGACCTGACACACTGCTGATTATACGCTTCTGCTTTTTAGAACAGATGGCCAGATTCCTCTTCCAGACTATACGCATCAAAAGACAAAGCACTAAAACAGGGATCCTTTCTGATGAAAGGAGGGGATTCGACTACCTATGCATTAGAGAATTTATGTGATAGGTGCTTGGAATGGATTTGTTTTACATGATCAGTCAGCCACATATAAGACTACCAAAACATTAGGAAAAAACTGATACATGTGAAAGCATAGTTAGTTTGTATTAGAGGCGCTGTCTCCAAAATCCTGGATCAAGTCACTTCTAATCTAAAGCTTCAGTACATCAGACCACAGTTTAGGAATATTTTGGATGTGTAAGTTTTTTCTGTTGTCTGTAAACAGACTTTTCATTTTGAAAGCAATTACTGACACAAAATACAAATTGACCTGCACCTCATTATGAACATTAACAGAGATTTAATTTAGGGTTTTTATCTGGTCTTAAAATGACTAACAAAGAGTTCATGCTAATGATCTGCTAAACCACTCACTTACACAGTGAAAAATGAAGCTTTAGGTCAGTTGCATCAAAGTGTACGTTGAGAGAAGAATAATCTAAACATGAGTTAAATAATAAAGTTTTTTTTCCCCTAGTTTTAAAAGAAGCAAATTAAAAGGTCAAGAGGACCTTTTTTTCTTAGACCTTTTTTTTTAAGTGCCAAGTCTCTAGGCCAGCTTGCTTGGACACATAACATTGACACTATTACTGAAGTCATTGTGAGATACTGTACCTTTTGCACTGATACTACGAAGATCTGTGATTTTCATTAAGATCTTTGGAAACATATGAGGCTTGTTGGGTCGTCTCTTTCGGATATAAATTTTCAGTGCTTCCAGCAATGGTTCTTGAAGCTTATCCACTTTCATTGGTTCTTCAAGGTCCTGGCGATCTGTAAAAAAGAATTATATCACTGATATTATTTTAAATATTTCCTACAAACTCCAAATCACAGAAGTTCTTCCGTTTTCTGAATCAGAAGAATCGTAATCTCCATTTATGACCCACTTTCTCTGGCATGTATTTCGCAGCAAGAAGCCAAAACATCATATATCTTTATGAAACCCTCATCATTTCCACACAAATTACAAACCTTTCCAGTAACCAAGGAAAAATGAATCTGTTTCTTTGCTCTTGTCCCTCCCTCTCCAAGGGTAAAACACCTTACTACAAATAATAAATGAGAATTAATTTTGCACACGTCTTTTATAGGCTTTTTAGGTATACAGCTTACAGTTTTGTATCAATACTAAAATAAAGTGAATTACCATCGTATATCAGCAGGTGGCAGTGCTCACTTGAGTGACAACAAATGTCACCCATAAAACAGGATGCACCAGCGATATCTTACATTAAAGACATCTCAGAACCTGTCATTGCTTTTGATGGGTTATGTTTGGAGACACATAAAATCACAATGATTTTGCACTAAAGGGACACTGTCAAGAAAGACTGACTTTTGTTTTTAAACCAGTTATTCTCTGGTAGCACCTAAAATATTGCAAAGGAAAATTATGCAAAACGTTGTTGAAATACAAACTATACAAAAAAAGCATGCCCAGAGTAAACAAGCCATGGTTCTTAAACTCATTTCTCTCCTTCTGTGCAAACTCTGGACTAGCATAAGATGATTTTGGAAACAAGTGACACTGAAGTTCCTTTTTTTTTTTTTTTTTAATTAACTAGAATTTTACTTGACAGCGTCCCTTTCAACATTTTTGTAATCAGCCCCCCACCCCAAATTCATGTCATCAGTGTTACTGTATTACTTTCAAAGTAGAATTCTACTTTTCATAAAATATACTCTACTTTTCATTAGAATATACTCTTTCATAAAGAAAGTTATCACCAATGAGTTCTGTGTGAAGGTAATTACATGCATACACATACAATTATATTTATGAAATATAATGAATATATTTATATCTTACATAAAAGATATAGAAGTTAATAACAAAAGTCATTCATATGGGGTGCCCATATACTGCTTCTAAACAAATGCAGCACGATGCAGCCCATATGCCTTTATCAGGCAAAAAAAAAAAAAAAGAGATCATTTGTCTGACTGAATCAACAGATTCATTAAAAAAAATTGTTAGTAATAACCATCATCAGCTGAAAACAAATCTTTAGTATCAGTCATTTATATACTTTTTATAGTATGGTTTAGTGTAGGAAAGCAAACCAAGTAAAACACAAATGAAGATCTTAACATGTCTGTCCTTTTCAAACACATCCAAATTCGTGCTGTACGATACCTCCACAGATTAAGCAGATGGCACTAAGGAGACCTGTTTCTGTATCATCCATTTCCAAAGGCAGGAGCTGATTGGCAAATGTGAACACAAGATCAGTCAGCGGGCCAAATCCGGCATTGTGCATCTGAGTTCGGTTTAGGGTAAGGCCATCTGAAAATGTCATTGTGTCTTGTTCTGGTGTGTATCTTGTGCAAATTCTAAGGATCTGTGGGGGAATAAAAGAATGAAATCTGAAGAATTCATCCCATGAACAGTTTCCTGCATTTTCTTCATGCAGCAAATTTCCCATGCGACTAATACACGTTCATGTCAAAACAATCCGATGTCAAACTCTGGTACATTCAGTTCTGGTAGCACAAAAATTCACTAGCAGAAATAATGTATTGAAATTCACTATAATCATTTTTTTATAACAGAAATTGGTCACTTCCAATTTTCCCCTGATTATTAAATAACCAGATCTCTGCAATTCCCAAAGCATAAATCATTAACATTACCGTAGTAATCACAAAAACCTCTCCATAACCCGTATGCTATATGCACCTAACTACAAAATGCTATTGCACTGCCACTCTGATCCCAGCACGATTGTAAGAACATCTCACCTCTTTGAGCATACACATATTTCACTAATTTGGGGGATCAGTTTTGCATGACAGTGCTTCCCTGGGTTGCATCTTGATAAGGACAAAAATATCTACTCTGTATCTTGTGTGAGTGAGCGCAGATAGCTGCAAACTGGTGAAAGCACATAACCCGTGCTTGGAGCATTCCTCCATTTCTTCTGTGATAGCATATAGGAAAATACTACTATATGAACACAACTAGGTTTGCAACAACTGAACAAATATTTAGTTGGAAAAACAACAAAATGGAAAAGAAGCAGAACAAGAAAAGGAGCAGAAGGCAATTCCCAGTTGTCATTTTTTCAGACAACTAAATAACCATTATTGCATGCTGGAATGTTCTTCCTCTGTCCCATGGCACCTCCCGCGTGCAAGCAGACTGCTGCGGCACTCCTTTGAGCTAAGAGGAGTAGACTGGAAGGGAGGTTGCAACACAAAAGCAGGAGTTCTGCTGCCATGTAGCAGTGCTTTTTGCTAGTAAAAAATAGCCTATTTCACTACTGGTTTTGATAACACTCAACGGCAGCCTGGTTAGTTTTGGTCAAAAATCAGATGCTTACATAGTAAAATGTTGGTTCAGTTACCCTCTTCTCCTGACACATTTTTACTTTACTTGTTTACAACTCCACACATCAGGAACGCTTCACTAAGCAGCGCATCAGGTTTGACCCACGTGCTACTTCAAGCCGATAAGAGTCTTCCCATTGATTTTAATGATAAAGCCAATTGCTCATTTTATTTTTTTGCCAGGTGGCAGGAAAAGATGACTTGGGAATCAAGAGTTATTCCTGCTTTTCTCACATTTCTTGCCCTCAAATTCCTTCTGTCATGGCCAAAATCACAGGTTTTGAGGGAATACTGCTGACCTAGTCAAATTGGTAGAGCATACTCAGCAATGCAAGTTCTCCGTCACCCAACTGCTGCTGCAGTTACTCTCCACAATGTGCTTCTCTTGCCAGGAGGGAAGCTTGCTTCTGCACTATCAAGCTTTGAACACTCAGGGCTGCCAGCAGCCTGAGGAGCCTGCACAACTTTTTCTCCTTTCACTATTACTGTTATTTCTCTGCACTGTAACGTTGAACCTCCTCACCAGCCAGTTGGCGTCCAGAATTCCTCAAGGCTCTGGTGCTCTCCCCACCCCAAGCACGGTGCAGCCACCATGATGGTGCATATCCTGACT